TGGTCCTCCTGATTTATGTCGCATGCCGACTACAGTCCTTCCGACCTCCGTCGCAAGCTAACTACGGTCCTCCTGACTTCCGTCGCCCGCCGACTACAGTCCTTCCAACAAAGCGAATATGTCAATAGTAGCTCTTTGTATTTATATCATGTAATGTACTCTATAAGATGTACATCAAGCTAAGGCCTTCTCCCAAGGAAGGGCCTCATTTGTAATCGACTGCAAATATTAGTGGATTTGTTCAAACTGGGCTAGGCCCCGTGGTTTTTCCCCCTTTTTTCAGGGGTTTTCCACGTAAAAATCTTGGTGTCTCATAAATGCTAGACCCTCTCTCTTATCTGATTGCGTGCCGGATTTTCGTACAACGCTAAGACGATAAACTTTATATTTCTCTACCGCCGCGAATACTCCTGGACGCAACATATATATTAATTTTAACATGCAAAATAATTTATGAATATTTTTCAAACAAATATTCACTATTTTAAAGTTCTTTTCATGTTCAAACCTAGCAGTGCCGATAAGTAAAAATCAATACTAATCGGTAACAAAAAATATCAATCTGTACCGAGTAGCACCGAGCTGTACCGATCACGAAGCTCTGATTGATTAGAAATGTTTTCACATGAGGGATTCAAAGTTTTACAGCAGCTATTACAGTTTGTAAGTAAACAATAACCCTAAACATTTTATTTATGTTTTTTTTTTATCATGAATACTATATGAGAAAAATATTTGCTTCAGAAAAAACAAACTAACCTGAGGCATTATTTCTCTGAATTTATTCAACCAAAAACTTGATCAGAATGACGCTGGAAGATGCTTGTGAATGCGAAGAAAATGAAGAGTTGCAGAAAAAAAAAAAAAACTTCGTCTTTGAAAATGGTAAACTGAAGTGAATAGTTGCTGTTCCTTATTTCAAAAATTATCATAATTTTCAGGTATGCTGGTCGGGCCATCATCATGCAAAATACGCACGTGGTATAAACCCAATCTTCGTTGGGCTGGGTCTACGGTATTGGGCTGCTATGTGGTGCTAGATTACTGGCGACCAGATGTAGAGCTACACC